TTTTAGGTTTTAGGCGTTTAGAGGGTAAGTGCATATGTATATACATGTCCATATCCATGTACACATACACGTGTACGTACATATACACGTACACGTACACGTACACGTACACGTACACGTACACATACACACACACACACACGCGCGCACATTTATATACATATATATATATATATATATATATACAAGTAAGTAGCTCACAAACATCTGATTGATTTACAGGGTCACTTACGTTTGGTGATAGATGAGTGCTGGATTGCTGCAGATGTTCTCAACAAAGAGACTGTGGGTTGCCACCACTCTGCCCACAGCCATTACCGCACCTCCGAGCTATAGTAAAACAACAAAAGTGGACGACAGATGTCAACTCGATGGCTATGAAACATCAGAAAAGGAAGACAAGCATGTAAACAGCTCACAAACAACAAAAATAGAAAAAAATATGGAAGCTCAAGTAAATGTAATGGTGAATTATTGACTGTTAGATATCAGCAGTGTGAAGAACTCAAACGAGGGAGAATTGTGGATAGTCGTTTACTACACATCAGAAAAAGAACTATAAAGGGTGATCAGACGTCCACTAAACAAAAGCAGTACAGAGATAGAAAGTAGGTAAGTAGAACTGTTTCATTGAGATGGCTATGGATTGCGGATGATCGGAAAGATACTGTGAAAGGAATGGTTATCAGGATACGCCTTCTGAAGCGGCATACCACCTGGGTCACACTGGCATGCAATATACTGCATTGTATATAAAACCCCTTGGCCACAACGGTGGGTAACGTATCTACCTAATATGTATATGATAGTAACCCTAAAACCCTAAAAAGAACGGTCACAGGTGCTTCATGTGTACGTATAACGGTGGGTGCAAGTTCTTTTCAGTAAGCGCGGTCTGCGACCACATCTGTGGACAGAGCCTCCTCGGCAAGTACTTCATTGATACATATCCCGCTATGTCTAAGCTGTGTGTGTATGAGTCACTACTGTGCTTGTATCTCATGTATGGACTCTACCGGCGGTAATATCTCTGCACTTATCTAATGTGTGTATAATCTCATGTGTACCGAGCCGGAAAGGAAGTGCTGTGGTGAACGTTGTGTAAGTGTATCAGGTTGATATGTACGGTCAAATATCCAGGGAAAGTGGTCAGCATACATAGGTACGCGTTAAACAATATACCAGATAGGCTTAATATAACATTATAGGTATGTAAGTTATAAACAACATACATATGATGTATTTAGCATATTGGGTATGTCATATACGAGATACAGATGTGATATATTCAACATATAAGTTATCCTCTAGACAACATACAGATATAATACCATCAAAATATAAGGTATGATATACACAACGCACAGTACGACGCATCCAACATTGTAGGTATGTTATTCATAACATACAGATTTAATGTATTCAACATAGTAGGTATGCTATTCACAACATACCAGATATGCCTTGTTGTTGGCGAACGAGCAGTTGGTGAGCGTCAGCGAATCTCCATAGACACTCCTAATAGCTCCGCCGGTCATCTGTAGAACCATTGCATTGCAGTGCAATGGATAGTGAGATGAGTACACCGTATCAGAAGGGACGATGTATGTGAACTAAATACAGGCACATATATACACATATAAAAACAGATATTCACATGAACATACAACGCAAACACACAATCATACTTACATTTCCGTATATACATATATACATTTCTATATATAAATATATATATATATA